ATCTATCTATCTATCTATCTATCTATCTATCTATCTATCTATCTATCCATCCATCTATCTATCCAGATATCTAATAGTTCATGTGAGCAACAGAGATATTGCAGATTTTCCCCTTACAGGAGATGTCATCTGGCTATCCCTTGGGATGTTTTTGAAGCATTTGGTATGGGTAGGGTATGCTTTGCTAGAAATTGTCATGCTGGAGCATGAATGGCCTTTTTTCACCCAAGATGAAAAGGAATTTTTGAAGAACAGGGGAAGCAAAATAAATACACATAGACACAGATCATGTGCTGAAACCTAGGGAGGCAGAGGAGATGGGAACAAATAGATTATGTTGTCATGAAGTAACTTCTTGATTCCACAATTTTCTTCTGTCAGTCAATTAGAAGGAGCAAGGAGTTTCCCATATTTTCTCTGGTCTTGAAGGAATGACATAAAAATGAAAAAGAAACAGAAAATGAGGCAGAATATTTTTTTTTCTTCCTGAGTTTTGCTCTTTCAGATATTGATTTATTCAAGAAAGATTACTTGAGCACTTTGAGAAAAAAAAAGTGAGGGGGGGAAACCTTAGTTTGCTCCCCCAAAAAATAACCTGGAAGATCCAAATATTAATAGTGAGGGAGGATTGAGAAGCAGCACATCCAGAGCTAGCCAACCTCCACCCGCATTTTAGTAAACTCATCCCAAAACAAAATGAACTCAAAGAAAAAAAAGTGAAAATAGGACTTAAAAACTATGGAAACCAGAAGGATGATGATAGCATGTTTGCAGAAGAAGGCAGCCTAATTAAGATTACAAGAACAATTTCAAGTGTCATATAAATAAAGACACGACCCGAAGTTGATTTAAAGTTTTTCTTTAGTAATTTGTCTCCCCTTTGTTGTGGCACACTCTAAGAAAGTGAATGCAGTAAAATGAAGGGGGGGGGGGGGGTGTGTGGTGAAGGGGAGGGAGGAGCCCGGAGGAAAAGAGGCAAGAGGGAAGGAATAGCTATCATCCTTCTCCTCCAGCCTCCCCAGCCCTTCCCCCATCCCCCAGGATCTTCCAGCTCTCCCCCCTCGCCCTTTCTCTCCTCTCCTTCTCTCTCTCTTTCCCTCTTTTGTGACTCCACCAGCCTTTGATTTGGGAGTGCTCTGATTGGCTGGAAGCGTTTCAACACATGCCGGGCAAAAAAAGCTTTGTCTGAGTTGAACTGAAGTTATACAGATTTTAGACTGGAGTCAGCAATCAAGGGTATTTAGTCTGCAGCCGAGCAGAGAAAGGGGGGGAAAGGATCTTTCAGGAAAGACACACTGCAGACTCGCTCGGCGGGCATCCTGCTTTAATGGATACGGACTGCTCAAGGGAGAAAGGACTGATGTGACACATTTCTGCCTGGAAAAGGAACCAGCGGAGAAGATATGCCTGGGATCGGCTTACGTGCAGAGCAGAGCTGGAAGTCATGACATGGTGTGTATAAACCAGACGTTTTTTTTTTTAATTTTTATTTTTAAACAAGAAGTTTGTGAACAATTAATTGGTCTACTGGGTTAGAAAAAGCCTTCTTCAAGTTTAAGGGACCAAATATAGACTGGGTTTAAGTGACCTGAGGAAGTTGAAAGGACTGCTATTGTTTTCTTTTTTCTTTTTTTTTCTTTTTTTCTTTTCTTCAAGTTGTTGGGAGAGGTGAATTGCAGAAACTCACCCAATGCACCAAACGAGTTGGACGATGCACTTTATAGCCTTTTTTGCACTGTTCCTGTTCTTTTTCAACGGAGACGTGCAGGGCAAGAATTTGAAATACAGGATTTACGAAGAACAGAGGGTTGGCTCGGTGGTTGCGAGGCTGTCGGAGGATGTGGCTGATGTTTTATCTAAGCTCCCTAACCCGACTACGGTGCGCTTCCGAGCAATGCAAAGGGGGAATTCTCCTTTACTCACAGTCCGAGAGGATAACGGGGAAATCAGCATAGGGGCGAAAATTGACCGGGAACAACTCTGCCAGAAAAACTTGAACTGTTCTATCGAGTTTGATGTGATCACTCTGCCCACGGAGCATCTGCAGCTTTTCCACGTTGAAGTGGAGGTGCTGGATATTAATGACAATTCCCCCCAGTTTTCCCGACCTCTCATCCCTATTGAGATATCCGAGAGCGCAGCTGTCGGGACTCGGATTCCCTTGGACAGCGCGTTCGATCCAGATGTTGGGGAGAACTCTCTCCATACGTACTCCCTCTCTGCTAATGACTTTTTTAATATCGAGGTGCGTACTAGGACAGACGGGGCGAAATATGCAGAGCTCATTGTGGTGAGAGAATTGGACAGGGAGCTGAAGTCCAGCTACGAACTCCAGCTCACTGCCTCTGACATGGGAGTGCCTCAGAGATCTGGATCCTCCATCCTCAAAATAAGCATTTCGGACTCTAATGACAACAGTCCTGTTTTTGAGAAACAATCTTATGTAATCCAGCTATTGGAGAACTCCCCAGTGGGGACTTTGCTCCTAGACCTGAATGCCACTGATCCAGATGAGGGCGCCAATGGGAAAATCGTGTATTCCTTCAGCAGTCATGTGTCTCCCAAAATTATAGAGACTTTTAAGATTGATTCTGAAAGAGGCCATTTGACCCTTTTCAAGCAAGTGGACTATGAGACCACCAAATCCTATGAAATTGATGCTCAGGCCCAGGATATGGGTCCCAATTCAATTCCAGCTCACTGCAAAATCATCATTAAGGTTGTAGATGTAAATGACAATAAGCCTGAAATTAACATAAACCTGATGTCTCCTGGCAAAGAGGAAATATCTTATGTTTTTGAAGGGGATCCCATTGACTCGTTTGTTGCTTTGGTGAGGGTACAAGACAAGGATTCTGGACTGAATGGAGAAATAGTTTGCAAACTTCATGGACATGGTCATTTTAAACTTCAGAAGACCTATGAAAACAATTATTTGATCTTGACTAATGCCACACTGGACAGAGAAAAGAGATCTGAATATAGTTTGACTGTAATTGCAGAGGACAGGGGAACCCCTAGTCTCTCAACAGTGAAACATTTCACTGTCCAAATCAATGATGTAAATGACAATCCACCCCATTTCCAGAGAAGCCGATATGAATTTGTCATCTCTGAGAATAATTCTCCAGGGGCATATATCACTTCTGTCACAGCCACTGATCCTGACCTAGGAGAAAACGGACAGGTCACCTATACCATTTTAGAGAGTTTTATCCTGGGAAGTTCCATAACTACCTATGTAACCATTGACCCATCTAATGGTGCCATCTATGCCCTCAGAATCTTTGATCATGAAGAAGTAAGTCAGATTGCTTTTGTGGTTGAAGCCAGGGATGGGGGAAGTCCAACACAACTCGTCAGCAATACCACAGTTGTGCTCACTATCATCGATGAAAATGACAACGTCCCTGTGATTGTAGGCCCTGCCCTTCGAAATAACACAGCGGAAATCCCAATCCCTAAAGGGGCTGAAAGTGGCTTCCATGTTACCAGAGTAAAGGCTGTAGACCGGGACTCTGGCATGAATGCAGAACTAAGCTGTTCCATAATAGCAGGGAATGAAGACAATAGCTTTGTCATAGACCCCAAATCATGTGACATCTATACCAATGTGAGCATGGAGTCCACTCCTCACACTGAATGGGAGCTTACTGTACTTGTTCAGGATAAAGGCAGTCCCCAGCTCCATACCAAAGCATTTTTGAAGTGTTCAGTTTTTGAGTTTGTTGAATCAGTGACAAGTACGGCAATGACCTCAGTTAGTCAGACCTCTATGGATGTCTCCATGATAATAATTATCTCCTTGGGAGCTATCTGTGCTGTCTTATTGGTCATCATGGTCCTCTTTGCAACCCGGTGCAACAGAGAGAAGAAAGACAACCGGTCCTACAACTGTAGGGTGGCAGAATCTACCTACCAGCACCACCCAAAAAGACCCTCCAGGCAGATTCACAAAGGAGATATTACTCTAGTGCCTACAATTAATGGCACTTTGCCCATTAGATCCCATCATAGGTCATCTCCCTCTTCTTCTCCCACTCTGGAAAGAGGGCAGATGAGCAGTAGACAGAGTCACCACAGCCACCAGTCACTCAATAGCCTAGTGACAATCTCATCAAACCATGTGCCTGAGAACTTCTCATTGGAACTCACCCATGCTACTCCTGCTGTTGAGGTAAGATAATCAACTATGGTATCTAAGTCCATTCATTAGTACACAATCAGAATTAGGACATTAGTACATCTCAGTCTGAAAAGTGTTTCTATAAATACTACAAAATACTCTCTCTTAATCTGTAGATAATTGAGCAAAATATAAATTAAGTATAAGGCAATTAAAATAGAGTAAGCTTGCATATAACATATATACACATGCATTTACGTGTATACTTATGTTGATATTTATGCATGTGTGTGTGGGTAAATATATGTGGATATGTATATACTTATATGTGCATATCATACAATAGCTGGTATTGGTCTATATATGTGTATATTATATGAATAGACATGTGAACATATCCTGAAATTAGAGATGAGGAAACTGAGGCAAATGACCAGGATCACCCAGCATATACTCTCTCTCTCTCTCTCTCTCTCTCCCTGTCTCTGTCTCTGTCTCTCTCTTTCTCTCTCTCTCTCTATATATATTTACATATATACACACATACACACATATACATATATGTGTGTGGTACACATATATACATATATGTTCATGCATATGCATGTGTGTTTATACATATACACAAACCATATGTGTATGTGCATATATGCATAAATATATACATAAGAATATACACACAGAGATTTAGAGTGAAGAACACTATATTTTCATTTTCCTTCTATATGAAAGTGCCTTCAAATAATAAAGAGCAATGGAATTGGAGTAAGTATGGTACCTGTATTCAAAACCCACTCACAATCTGTTTGGCTATGGGCAACTCAATTAATCTTCTTGAGTCTCAGATGGCCTCTTCTGTCAAATGATGAGTGTGAACTAGATGACCTTTGAAGACCCTTGTAACTCTAAATTGGTAATCCTACTGTCCAAATACATTTAACATGAAATCATGGGATTTTCAAGCTGTAGAGGTTACCTAGTCCAAATCCATCATTTTACAGATGAGACAACTGAGGCCAAGAGAGACTTAGTGGATCACCCAGCGTAGTAGGGTGAGAGAGTCAGGATTATAGTAAACCAAATTCTTCTGTACATTACTTTCATACTCTTTTTAACATTCTGTTGTCTGCAATAGGTGTTCAGCTACTAGGAAGATATAAAAGTACTGTGACCATTTTACCTAGAGATCTTATAGACCAGAGTGTTATATAATATCCCCCCTGTATCTTAATATCAATAATTGATCTTTGAATCTGAAATAGAAGCAGAATATGTTTGATCTGAATCTGAAATAGAAATAGATCTGTTAGTTATTTAAAAGAAACCTGCTTTTCCAAGAAATAATCAACTCAATCTAATTACTGACAAATTTTTCAATCATTTGCCATTGATTTTGATGCAAAATTAGCAAGCTCTTTGAGGTTATGATTTAGTTTCTGGGAAATGACTTGAGAATGTTTATCTTTTGGTGACAGGCACTGAACCATGCAAATGCTGGCTCTAATGAATTCTTTATGCCTGTGAAACTTTAAAGCTGAACTAGCATATTCACTAAGGAGTCAGAAATAACCAATTCCTCTTTTTCTCCCCATAATATTGCACTTGTGAGAGGCAGTAGGGTATAGTATATAGAAAGATGGTTTTGGGGTTAGAAAAACCTGGGTTCAAGTCTTGCTTCTTACACACACATGTTGTGTGACCGTAGGCAAATCACATAACCTTACAATGTCTCAGGCAACTTGGCTGTAAGTTATAGATAAGCTGCTGATTTGTATCAGAGAATAGCATTTCACATCAGGTATTTTCCAGATTGATGAAATATAGGTCTGGACCCTCATCCTTCCCTTTCTTCCCAAAATAGTTCTAGCAGTTATTCAGAATTTTATTTCTAGGACTTGTGTTTACTATCTTTCTTCCAGCAGGTCTCTCAGCTTCTCTCAATGCTTCATCAGGGCCAATATCAGCCACGACCAAGTTTTCGGGGAAATAAATACTCCAGGAGCTACAGGTAAGAAATTTATAAACATTCTGCTCATCTATTATGTGGTATCCTCAAACAGAAATAGGCAACTTTGAATAGTAATATCCATGCACTCCTGTATTATGGCCTGATTTATGTTTACAGATATGCCCTTCAAGATATGGATAAATTCAGCTTGAAGGACAGTGGCCGAGGTGACAGCGAGGCAGGGGACAGTGATTATGATCTGGGTCGTGATTCTCCAATAGACCGGCTACTTGGGGAAGGTTTCAGTGACCTCTTCCTCACCGATGGAAGAATTCCTGCAGGTAAGAATGTAATGAATAGCTATGTAATGAGTAGCTATTTCTAGGACTCTCTAAATGACATGTCAGTAAAGTGAAAACATTGGGTCCCTTATGTTGTTGCTTTTCCCGTTTTTTAATTCCTTCTTTCCTTTTTTTCACTTCTATTCTCTCCAGATAAATATATGTCATCTCCAAAAGCAGGTAGGAAGGTAACACTTAGGATGAAACATTTTAAAATTACTTTTAGGAGCTATTGGTCTTAAGCAGGGCACTGTACCCCACCCCTAAACCCCCATGGAGAACTGTTTCTAAAATTACTGGGTGGATATTTCCATGTAGCCTCATTGTCCTAGTATATGGTCATGCCTAGAACTATAATTTAGAAGAAATGTTTCCTGTCTTGGGAACTGTTTTTCAGAACCAGAAACTAAAGTATAGCAAAAGATGCCATATTGTGGTCTCTAAACATAGCAGGGGAAGTTGATTACCACTGCTGGACTTCCTAGTTGTTTGGTCCAACACATTGGGGAAAGAGAAAGAAGGCCCCAAGAGAACAATGTTCACTTGTAAATTATGGAACTAGAGAGGGAAAAGCATAATGGTGCTTGATTTTCCTTAGGGCCCAACACATCCGAAGAGTCATCTGGAAAGTTGTAATAGCTTTATGGTCCCACAGACATAGAACATCTCTTACAGAATAGAGCAGCATCCCACTAGAACCATGGATCCTTTTTGCAGTCTGGTGAAATCTATGTACCCCAAATGCATATAATAATATACATAGGATTACAAAGGGAACCAATTATATAAAAATGCAATTCTCTCTCTCTCTCTTTCTTTCTCTCTCTCCTTCATGGACCCCAGGTTAAGAATCCCTACACTAGAACTATGGCACAAACAGCCTTTTAAAGGCCCCAGAGAATTAGTGCATAACCCCCTGAATTTTAGTTTTGGAAAATTATTAAAATGTAAAATTCATTTAGTTTATATTAAATATGATTTTCACTTGAAAATGAGGTACAATGATATTCAATAAACTGTCTTAAGTCCTGGAAAATACTATGGAATGAAAACACAAATAATTGGCTTCTGATACTAAAACAAAAGGTAAGGAAAGCAAGGTGAAAAAGTGGACAAGAGGGTCACAAGTCACAGGATATAGAGGTGGAAAGGACCTTTAGCCCACCTCCCTCATGTTACAGATGAACATAAGGAGGCCTAGAGACAAGAAGCTTGAGTAACCCTGGGAAGTCTTCTGGTGTCTAGGACTCTGTATCTTCTGGAGTTTTCAGAATCAAGATCAAAGGTTCTTTCCAGTATTGCATAAAATAACTCAATGGCTTTACATCTGAGAATTATTTCTATCATCAGCTACATATTTATATCAACATATTTAGGGTAATAAGAATCCACAGTTTGGCTAGTCATTGAATAAATCACTTTTTGTCCTATTTTCTTCCATTTACTATATTCCAAGGATAGGCATTGCTATAGCCATCTGATCAGGACAGTGATCTATATAATAGTCATTCTATTGTTAATACAATATCCATTTCATGGTCCTCAGATGGTCAAAAGAGTTCCTATACTATGAAAGAAGATTACTTAGGGGGAGGGGTTAGCATGGCTTATCATCATCATCATCATCATAAGATTGTCAAAAGTAACTTCTAAGAATGAAGTAGGGTACAACAGATTGAATCTTTCAATTCGTAGATCATGTTTTCCTCATTAAACATTATTTATTTAAAAAAAAATAAAGTAGTACACAACCAGCAAACTTTGATTTAGGTTAGAGGGGAAGAGAAAAAAACAACCTTGTTCTGGGGAAAGTTGTCAATAAATTAACTGTACCCTCTCATAATATGAAATTTATAAAAGATATCAAGTCAACTGTGATTTTAATTCATGATCAAATTTCTTTATTTAAGTGTCTTTAATTTATTCTGTAATCCTCCATATTTTGTGTTGTGGACAGTGATAAATACAGGTCTTTCTTCTCTTTATGTAACAAGAGTGTCCTTTCCTTGTTTTCTGAATTCAACACCACCTACCTTCAGGGTACTCTTGAATACATCTAGGCAAACTTAAAGTAAGAGTCACATGCTCTCCAAGGAAAGCTCCTTGTGAACATATCCAACATATTAGTATTTAGTTACCTCATCACTTTTCTTCTGGGTTGTGTTTCCTTGCCCTATTAAGTACCTAGAATTACATGCAGGGGGCATGACTCCATTTTCATCTGTATGGGGCTTCTCATATCTTCTTCACTCAACTTCAGAATCTCCCTTGTGGGATTTTAGATGTAGTCACTGAATCCCAGAAAGACAGAGCTTTGAGATCATTAGACCAAGAAATATAGGAAAGGACTTTGGAGATCTAGTTTGACCCTCTGGTTTTATTGATTCAGAGAGTAAAAAGAAGTGATTTACTTCACCAAGATCACAATAGAGTTGAGATTTGAGCCCTTGGTTTCTTGTTTCCCAGTCTAATTCACTTTCCACTGTACATACAGCACTATATCTGTCGTCAGTTGGTCAGTCAACAAGTGTTTCTCAAGCATCTACTATATGTCTGTCACAATGCTAAGTTCTAGGGCAGGCCTGCACAAACTGCTTATGTTGCTTATGGCCCTCAGCTGCTTGTGGATTTCCTCTACATACAAAGGATGTTTTCCGCTACATTTTTCATGGGTCACAGGCCACGGGCCATGGGTCATAGGTTGTGCAGGCCTGTTCTAGTGATACAAAGAAAGGTAAAAAATAACCCCTTTCTCTCAAGCAGCTTATAGTGTCTTTAGTGTATGAAACAGCTCCTCTGGAGACTTCAGTTTTCACTTGCCTCATAAGGTGCATTTATGTGTATGTAGTGGAACTTATTTTCAATGGTATAGGGAACCTCCAATATGGAAACTTTTTTCTACCAATGTAGATCAGCACCTACTCTATAACTTCAGTATTAGGAGTTGTCTGGGAGCACTGAGAGGTTAAGTTACTCACTCAGGGTCCTGAAGGCAGTATGTGTCAGGGTCAAGACTTAAAGCTGTCTGCCTGATTCTGAGGACAGCTATCTATATACTTTTCTGTGCTGCCTTTCATATATGTAAGCATCTATACATATTCGCACATGTATATAGATATGTATACATATGCAAACATATGCACTCCACAATTCAATAAACGTATCTTCTAGTTGGATACAGAGTGAAATGAACACTCAATACGTCAAAAATCTTCTCCTTTGATGTGTCTGTCATTCTGATGATACCTGTTTCTTCTTATGTAAGTAGGTACATATGGCTTAGTTTGACAGCTTTCTATCTTGTATCCTCACTGCCAGTCTCTTTCATCTTTCATCTGATTTGAAATCTCAACAGCTGAATTCATATTCTGGCCCATGTTCTTACTCACTATGCAAATTTTGACTTCACCTTTCTAGTTTTCAGTTTTCTGACCTATAAAGTCAAGGAATTGGCCTAAATGACCTCTAACAATCCTTTCTCCTCTAAATCCCCTGATGATCTGGTTATTGATATTATCTTAACATTCAAAATCTTCTATACTCTGTTCCCAGGTTACATTTCCAACTGACACATTCAATAGAATATAAATTCCTTGCCACCTGGGACTAGTTCATGTTTGTTTATGTACCTGCATTCCCAAGCACAGAACCTGGCACAAAAAGGTTGTTTATTAAAAGCTCAGTGAAAGAATATACAATTCCCCTCTCCCCTCCCCACCCTAAAAATAGTAATAATAATCAGGGCAGCTTCCTCACTATTATTCAGACACTATGCTAATCCTCACAACCAAATCTTTGTTATGCTTTTCTGATACAGGATGTTTCTACCTCCCACCTTCCCCTCCTCACCTATTCAAATGCTAAGAATTAACTGCTAGGCAGTTTTCAGATAGTTTACTGGGCAGAACACTGGATTGGGAGTCAAAGAACTAGGTGAAGTTCCTAGGCTATGCCTTACCAGCTCTGTGATTCTATGCAAGTCTCTCAACCCTTTTTTGACTTTTCCTCATCTATAAAATGAGGACAACAAGATTTAATACTATTTAGCTCGTGGACTTTATTTATGGAACATGCCTTTTAAACCTGATAGATGAGCCATCACTGCTATGTAGTATTTGCAGCAGTGAACCATGAAAATCCGGAGAGAATATTCATATCCCTTTATCTCAATACTTTGTTAGCAGCTAAGGCTCTAGAGAAGAGAGAGAAACATTAACTAAAGTAATAGAAATATTCCTCATCACTGCTTTAATTCCTTCTTTCTCTCTCATTCTTATTTGAAGGCTGACCTCCTTTCCCTTCTGTTAGTTCAATACAGCATGCTTCTTTTTTCCTTTGTGCAGTAAAGATGGAAAAGCATCTTTTACCATTCTAACAGGCAAAGAATTTATAACTTCTTCAGGGTGTAGAATTCCTCCCAGGGTGGGGACGCCCTATGGGAAAGCATATTGCATATTCCATTTGACTTAGTCATTTCTAGGGTGTTGCCTGAAGCACCAAAAAATCAAATGAGAGATCTAGGGTCACACAGCCAGTAACCGTCAGAAATAGGAACAGAACATAGGTCCTAGTCCAGCACTCTATTATGCCATATTGTCCCTAATCTTTAATACTTCTGAAATATTCATGAGGCAGAGGCTGATTTCTTGATGGTTAGTATAATAATGTCTACCTCTTTAATCGCTCAGTTTTCATTATAATTCTTTGGCAACATATCGTTGATCAAATTATCCCTGTATTCAATTCTTTGGAAATCTTGATCCAACTCAAGATTCCCAGAAGAAAGTGTGCTTTTCCTGTTATAAATAACAGGAATGATGCTTCATGTAAAAATGTAAAACATTCCAAGCACTTTCCAGTTATAAAACTGAAGAAGTACATGTCATGGGGGCAAATTCAGGGACATTTTGTCTCTTCCCAGGGTTCTATATTTAGAATCAAAGGACCTGGGTTCAAATCCAAGTTCTGATGTTTATTTCCAGGTAACTTTGGTTATGCACCCCCCCCTTTCCTGGCTTTAGTTTCTTTATCTGCTAAGTAAGAGAGTTGGGGAATATGACCTCCAAGTCCCCTTTTACCCCAACACTTATGATGCTAGGATCCCTGACTGTTGCAGAGATGACAGAGAAGCCAGAATAAGATTATCTATCTATCTATCTATCTATCTATCTATCTATCTATCTATCGATCTATTGATCCATCTTTTCTATTTTAAAACTATCATATGGAGAATCCATGACCTATTCATTGCCTAACAACATCAATTTATTCATTCAATTCAACATTTCAATTCAATGAACATTTCATAAGCACCTTTTGAATGAGAGACACTGTACTCAACACTGTAGATACTAGAAGGAAAAAGGGGTCCCTGCTCTCAAGGAGCTTACATTCTACTGGTGGGACACAATAAGTAAGTGGGAATTCCATGTATGGATATATGTATATAGATATACACAAAAAAGTATTGCACATATAGATACTTACATAGATGACATAGATATAGTCAGTTATTTGGAAATTTTTGTGCCACTCAAGTGTCCCAAAAGAATATGTATATTTTATCTGTTATAAATCATGGGAATGATATTTCATTTAAAAATGTAAAACATGAGGGCAGCTAGGTGGTGCAGTGGATGGAGCACTGGCCCTGGAGTCAGGAGGACCTGAGTTCAAATCTGGCCTCAAACCAAACACTTGACACTTACTAGCTGTGTGACCCTAGGCAAGTCACTTAACCCCAATTCCCTTACCAAAAAAAAAAATAATAAATTTTAAAAATATGTAAAACAAGTAAAGCACTTTTATAAAACTGGAATATGTGTGCATGTGTATATACGTAAATAGAATCTGTGTATGCACGGACACATGCATATAAAGAAGAATGTATGGATGGATACACATAATTTTGGCTGCACCTAAGGTGTCTTCTCCAGACCCCAAATCTTCCTGACTCTGAGGCCAGCTTTATATACATTCTGAATCTTTTCTCTCAGTAAGTGAGGAAAGAAAAAGTAGTGAATGTTAGGAGAATCAGCAGAGTTTTTGTTCCATAAGTGGCACCTGACCTGGGCCTTGAAGGAAGACAGGGATTTTAAAAGTTAAAAAAAGAGTACATCCCAGGCACAGAGAGCAACTTAGGCTATGGCATGGCCCAAAGTACAACACTGAGTTTAGGGAATAGTGTGTAGGCCAGTTTGGCTGAAATAGAATATGTAAAAGAGAATAATATGAAATAGGTCCAGAAATATATGTTGGAGCCAGACTCTGGAGGGCTTTAAAGGCCAGGTTGAGGTTACATTTACTCTTAGAGGCAGTAAGGAGCCACTTGAACTTCCTGAGCAGAAGGGAGACATGGTTAGAGCTGCACTTTTGGAAAATTATTGGGAAGATATGTGGAGGATGGAATCTAGGGAGACTAAGTAAGAGGTTATGGAAATAATCCAGGTAAGATCCTATTCCTTTCACAACCTTGGTTATAAGAGATGGAGACCAATAGCTCATAACTCTTTCTATGCATCAACAATCCAAAAAGTTGAGGATTGGCCTTACTTAGCTCTCTCTTCACCTTAATTAATTAATTTCTACTCCTTAGGTATTAGAATTTCATGGCAGACTTAATCCAGTGGCTCTCAATGCCTAGTCTCTGCCCTACCTTTCAATCAATTCAATTTCAATAAAATAAACATTAAGTTAATACTGTTTTCTTATCTATAAAATGGGAGGAGGGTTAGACAAGGTGACCTGTAATGTACCACACAGCTCTAATTCTCTTATTCCATGTGACACTCACTGTGCTAGGCACTGGAGATACCTAGAAAAAAGTGAAACAAGACCTGCTCTCAAGAAGCTTATATTCCTTGCACAGTTTCTGATAGGGTAGGTGTTAATACTTATGTCTCAGACTTTCCCTTTTTCTTCCTTCACGTTCTTGCTACTACTCTTGGCAATGTGATGCAAAGTATATTTATCAAAGACCATTTGTGTGAATACATTCCTACATCAAACTTATGTGTGTCCATGTGGGTGTGTGTATGTATGTATGTGACCTTCTTTTGGCCAATTCAAAGAAGTTTATTACCAGACAGTTGGCAATTGGGTGATGAACTTTCTGGCTGCATAAATTTGTGTAATGGTCTACAATGGATGGGATTCTTATTTACATTGATGAAAAGGAAAACCACCACGATGAAATCACTGAATTTCTGAAGGGTTAATGAAGCCTCTTGATGAAGTGTGACAGCAATGTGCTTAATTGATGCAATGGTCTGAAGGAGAAAGAAGATGATAAAGGCAAGGAGACAAGCCAGGAAATTTTTATAGAAATTCAGGTGTAAGATGATAAGGACTTCAATTTAGCATCAGCTGAGAAAGAGAGAATTAGTCAGAATGTGCCTGAAAGGAAAGAATATTTCCAAAGGGAAAAAAAAAAAAGGATCTGGAAGGGTTAAATTGCTTTCAGAAACTTATTGCCAACAAGGTTTGGACTTCAGGTTCTTGTCTTGTAGAACAGGCAATTCAGGGCTAAGGAAAGATTGTGATGAATGTTAATTTGGCTATAGGTTGAAGTCCCCTGGAGAGCTATGTGCTGAGGAGGATTTCCAAAGCTTACGAAGGAATATGGACTCATTCTCACCAGTCCTGTTTTTACAAACACAACAAACACTGACTATTGTCATTAGCTCAATCAGTCAATCAACAAGGGACAAACTGAGACCTGGGAAAGCCCTTAGCTTAAAAAGGCTCCCACTGCATCCGGGGCCATCTCTAGTCGTCCTGATCTATATCTTGCCACTGGGCCCAGATGGCTCTAGAGGAGAGAGTGAGGCTGGTGACTTTGAAGAGCCTTGTTTCACTTAAATCCAATTCACTTGCAAGTCATGACATCACCCTTCTGATGTCATTGGTCCTCTTGGAGAACAAAGGACAAAATTACTCCATACAGTCTTCTACTTAACAGTTTCTGTCTCCTAAATTCTTAGCCATTTTAGTTCTTCATGGTTAAATGTCCCCAAATTATTTCCATATGTAGAAGTGGAGCCCATAAACAGACACCATTGTCTAGTAATTGTTCATATATGTATTGTGTGTAGGATAGTAAGATCCACCTGTATTGTGGAAGGATTCTCTCATATCTTATACATTCTATATGCCAGCTGCCTATAGATAACCTGCAGAAGCAGTGGATAGAGCATTAGGCTTGAAGTAAGGAAGACCTGAGTTCAAATTCTCTTTCAGATACTTACTAACTGTATGATCCTGGACAGGTCATTTAACCACTGTTTATCTTAGTTTCCTCAACTGTAAAATGGAAACAATAATAATAATAGCATCTACCTTTCATGGTTATTGTGAGGATAAAATGAGGTAATATTTATAAAGTGATTTGAAAACCTTAAGTCACTAGTCACTATCATGATCATCATCACCATCATCATTAGGGAAATGATTTGCTGAAGACCACTTAGAAAGAATCCTTCTATGTGCAATAGTTTCAGAGTCTCTCAAACCTTAGTAGTTGTACGACCATAGTCAAATCACTTTAGTCTCACTGAGCTTCAGTTTCCTCATCTATAAAATGGGAACGCTGGACTAGCTAAGCTCTGAGGCACCTTCCAGATCTCACCCTATGCTCTATTAACCTATGTTGATACTATGCCCTTTTAAGCTTATTGAATCTCAGGTTTTTCATCTGTAAAGGTGGAATTAATAACATCTATGGTATCTGGGCTGCATGGTTGTTATGATGGTCAAAGGATTATGTGTGTTTGTGTGTGTGTGTGTGTGTGTGTGTATTTCAAGGTAAATCTTGAAGTGCTGCAGATGTCAGTCATCATCATTATAATTAAAATGTTTTTAATCACACTTTCACCTTCTTGCATAAATGACCTTTATGACTCAGATGTTTAGCTAAGATTGACTATTAACCCCCCACATATATTCTGATTGCAGCTATGCGGCTATGCACAGATGAATGCAGAGTGCTGGGACACTCAGACCAATGCTGGATGCCACCTCTTCCCTCCCCATCTTCTGATTATCGAAGCAACATGTTCATTCCGGGAGAAGAATTTCCATCCCAGCCACAACCCCAGCACCCCCATCAGAGTCTGGAAGAGGAATCCCAGCCTAATGACTCCAGTGAAAAGAAAAAGAGTTTTTCCACCTTTGGGAAGGATGTGCAGAATGAAGAAGACCCTGGGGACACATGCACGTCTTCTTTGCTCTCTGAAATGAGCAGCGTGTTTCAGCGTTTGTTACCTCCGTCTCTGGACACCTACACTGAGTGCAACGAGGTAGACCGGGCCAACTCATTAGAGCGTCGAAAGGGAACTCTCCCAGCCAAGACTGTGGGTTACCCACAAGGGGTGGCAGCCTGGGCAGCCAGTACCCATTTCCAAAATCCTGCCAGCACCACAGGGCCCACCCTGGGGACTCACTCAAGTGTGCAACCTTCTTCCAAATGGCTTCCAGCTATGGAAGAGATTCCTGAAAACTATGAGGAAGATGATTTTGATAATGTACTCAACCATCTCAATGATGGGAAGCATGAACTCATGGATGCCAGTGAGCTGGTGGCAGAGATTAACAAGCTGCTACAAGATGTCCGACAGAGCTAGAGAAGTTTGAAAAAAAAAAGCATCTTTTTTTTTCCATTTTTATGGAAACAAGGGGGGGAAAGACAGAACTGGCATTGCCAATTAGTTGCATTTATCATAAATGTGTCTGTGTATATGGAATATTAAATACTGTATTTTCATATGTACACAATGCAAGTGTGGTTATCTTAATCTGTATTTTAAAAATACATTTGTACCTTATATTTATGTGTAATTTAACAAATAAATTTTATTTTTCTACTCCCATGGCAAGCATGTCTTCCCTAAGTATATAAAAAAACCAGCCACTATTTGATTCTGGCAAATCATCCAGCCACAAGAGATGAGGGTACTGCTTCCTATTACTTGTTTGTTTGTTTTTTTGTTTTGTTTTGTTTTTGTTTTTTAAGAGAAATAAGTGTCTTGGTGCAGAATCAGCCCCACTGAAGTATTATCCAACTCTTAGTTTCAATTGTGTTTTGAAACTGAATTTTTAGAATAATAAATTAGCAACTTTGCTGAACTTTATTTTTTTTTCCACTGTCTTCCTTTGTCTTTTCCTATATTCCCCAAACACACTTCTTGTGCTTGGTTAGAGACTTGAAGTCATGTTGGTATAAGTGAAACCTCATATGTTGAAAAAAATCCATTTGTCTCAAAACATTCACATTCATTCAACAATCAATGCCAGCACTGAGTTTCAGTCCATCCTTGCAACTAGTTAAAGGTGCTAAAGACAATGGAATCAGTCTTTTGCTTATTGCCCGCCTAGGCTAAACTCTGGACTGACACAGAGAGCCACATGGGTGTCTCTCCTAAGGTAGTAAATAGAACCCAATTTTTCCTGAACATGTATCTTAATCTCCTCCCACACTTCACAATCTCTTCCCGGATACTTGAATGTTTTTCTTATCTGCCAAACTGTTTGTTATGATGTTCACTGTTAATTCCCTCAATCCCCCTCCCACTGCATGATTTCATTTATAACTTTTATTCTTAGCATAAGAAAGTTTTTTAAGTCACATTTTTGTGTTGTTCTTGTTGGTCTATTTTTGCTTTGTTGTGTTTTAAGCTATGCCTCCTCCTTTATTTATTGTGAAGTTTTATTTGGAATCTTGAATGCCTTGGTAAATGGGTACACTATTATGGTTAGCCCTGCACTGCTCTCATTTATTACTGAACTACTATTAATGTCATTTCTATGAATAAAAATGCCATTCTTGTACTACCCAGTAACTCTGTCAATGGAAATAAATGGAAAATGAAAACAAAGCTAAGAAAACTGTCCCTAATTTAGACCCTTCTCCCTATGTTTGTTCTGGAGGCATCCAGTCTTTGGAGGGTGTAAGTCAGCATAAGCAGAGGGCTGGTGGGATAGTGTGGTTTCCAAGAAAATCAGGAAGAGCTACCTGGCAAATCAGAAACAATCAAACAAACAAAAATGTTCCCCATTAGTCATCCATTTCAGCAATGTTGAGTTGGGCGAGTCCAGAAAATAGCAAACTATTGCCTATCTAGTTTTTAAAATGATTTGAGCCTTTAAATAAAGTTGAAGTAATGAGGGCAAAATGGCATGGGAGAGTAGTAGAGATATCTTAGTGAAAGGAACACCTGGATTCAAGTCCTACCTGGGTAACTTTGGCCAAGTCACAATCGAAATAAAAGCCCAACTGCTTCAGTAGAGGGACTGATAGAAATCATAACCTGGAGCTCCTCCTCCTCTCTCTTACTCCCCAACCCCAATAAAATAGAGCTAAGAGGAAAATAAAGTCTTAGATTACATTTATTAAGCTCTCATAACTAAAAGTTAAAGGATTTTTAAATACCACACTACTTATGCTTCAGATTTTCCTTATTAGAATTTTTTTTCAGGATCCATTTATGTATCAACCTAATAAATAGATAAATATACATACATATATAATATGTGTGCATATGTATATATAACGTGTATATGTATACATACACACACACAAACACACACATATATTTATGAGATAAGAAGGATATAATATTACTTTTCAGTTCATAAAGATAGGGACATAATGGGCTAGAAAGGGTAATTGATTTATCGGGGAATGGAACCTAGACATGACTTTAAAGCTTGACTAGACCGTGAAAGTTTTATAGTTGATCTCCACTCCACCCCCACTCCAACTCCCACCAATCAACCCCAACCTCCTCTCAATTTACAGAGGAACAAAGCCCTTAGGGGCTAACTGTCTTGCCTGAGGCCACACAGACAGGTAGAAACAAACATAACTGAAATTAGACCTTAGACCATCTCATTCTAAAGCCTGCCTGCTTTGCAATACACCATTTCCAACTTTCCAGGCTCCTGCTGTATGAACTGTAGTTAATGCTGTATGTACTACATAGTCAGTATTACTAGTAATAGTCAAGCTCTTTATTGTATTTTCCATTCCATTATGAGAGATGGAAATTTGGAAGGTAATCAAAGGTGTGTGTGTGTGTGTGTGCAGACATGCTTGTGTCTCCTTAGGAATGTGGTCACAAGAAATTCTAAGGCTTTTGCAGGACACTATCTTCTATAGAACGATCACATAGTCTGTGTAATAGGGCACCATTCAAATGAAGCATTTCAAAAATTTTCTTAAAAAAAAAACAAAAACAAAAAAAACTAACAGCCAAAGTAACTGCAATAAATGAAGAAGACAGGTACTAAATCATACTCATACGTACATATGTTTTACATACATACATATACACACACACATATAGACATATATATACATAAAAACACATATATAGTTATGTGTATATATACATATACATACCCATTATATGTAAGTATATACATATACATAGATAAATAGAGATTTCATCGATTGAGGAAATTCTTAAATGAGTGAACTCCTTTTACATACATATACTCCCACATGTTCTTGCTCTTTTCTCCTATAATCATGTGTGTATACACATATATACACTTACAATTATGATTTCATAAGTGTGATCAGGGTAGGAAATCCCTAGTGTAAGGAAACTCACTCAACCAATACAAATGAGCAACTGCTAAGAGATTAAGTGACTGTTCCAGAGTCACACATCCAAAATGTGTCAGAAGTGAGATTTATGCCCAAGTCTTCCTGCCTCTGTTTCCACTTTGTCCACAACATCATGCTGCCTCTTCTTAAAACAACACAAATTATTTGCTTAAAAAATCGTTTTCTCATTTCCCTCTCCCAGCATTCTCTACCCTCTCATTTCTTCCTTTATTAATAAACTAAGTGAAACAGAAGAGGCAGTATGGTAGAGAGGAAGATGGCTGGACTTAGAGAGGAAAGAAACAGGAGAGATCTGAGCTCAAATTTGAACTCTGGCGATCGCTAGCTGTGTGGCCACAGACAAGTCTTGTAGCCTTTTTGAAAACAGGTAGGAACGATATAAACATCTAAGTGTTTACTATGTGCCAAGGGGAGTATAGTATGTTCAGGGAGGACAAGCACCTCTGGCGTGAGGGCCTGCTGAGCCCTTTTCAGGGCTGCTCCCATCAGTAAGTTAGGGGGATGTCTACCCCAAGCATGTGAAGACTTCCCCCAACAGTATGAGTGAATGAGAACATTTTTTCCCCAGTGGCCATGCAGGCAGACATTGTGGAGCACTTAGAGCTTGGTCAGACATCAGAGACGCCAAGGTCATCCACTGCATTCCAGGCCATCACCAGTCATCTTGACTTTTGTCTTGCTGCTGGATTTCAATGATTCTGGAAGAGAGAGTGAAGCTGACTGTTTTGTGCAATTCTGCTTCACTTAAATCCGATTCACACAGAAGTCATCATCTTATGATTTCATTGGTCCTCTTTGAAAATGGAAGACAAACAACTACGTGCCAATTACTGCATTGAATGCTCTACAAATATTATCTCAGTGGATCCTCACAACAATCCTTAGAGGTGCATGCTTTTATTATCCTCATTTTATAGTTGAGGAAATTGAAGTGGATAGAGGTTAAGTAACTTGCCCAGGATCACACAGCTATAAGTGTCATTTGAACTCAGGTCTTCCTGATTATCTACTGAGCCACCTACCTGCCCCAGCATTGAGGTCCAATTTTCTCATCTCTGAAACATATCTCTTCTGTGTTAATACCTGTACAAGCTACCTCACAGGGTCATTGTGAAGATGACAAGAGACAATGTATGCAGAGAGTACCATCCCCTACAGAGAGCAACATCTTTGTTCCATCAGAAATGGCTGTCCGGCTGAATCCAGGCTGTGGTACCAGGAGAAGGTGTGTGCAACTTTTCCTCTTTCTGATGTCATACTTATGAAAACAGAGATGCACAATACTACTTATCTCCAAGATCTAAAAACAACAGCGACAATTTCTCATATTCCTATAGAGCTTTAAGGTTGACAAAGCACTTTTCTCCTTCATTGAACTTTGTATTAGCTAGGGGAAATAACTTAATCCCCATTCTTTACAAAGAAGAAAATGAGTTTCAGAGAGATTAAATAACAACCCTTGGTCAAAAAGGGGAGTACTTGTCAGAAATGGGACTCCAAGTTCAATTGTTCTGTCCCCTATCCTATAGAGAATCACTTTATTAGATTTATTTTTAGGCAGAACAATGTATCCTAATTTACTCATGAGGTAGGACAGGACAGCTGTTCATTTTCCAGTTGTAACTTTCCAGGCTAAATTCTCAAAATCTATATTTCCCATATTCCCACAGAAATTCCTACAATTCCCATATCTACATTACAGTTTTAACTAGCTTCCTTATCCTTGGAATTCAGCATTCCATCTCCTGCCTCACTGTCATTCATCTCCCACATCCAATCTATTGCCAAGGGCTTCAATTTCCCCTTTGCAACATCTCTCAAATACACCTCTTCTTTCTTCTGGTGCAGGCCATCACCCCCTCACACCTGGACTAATGCAATAGCCAGCTGATTATACTGCCACTACAAATTTCTTCCCACTCCAGGCCATCCTCTACTTGGCTGTCAAAGTGACTTCCCTAAAGCAGAGGTCAGATCATATACCTTCCTACACAATAAACTCCAGTGGCTCCCTTATCACCTCCAGAATGAAATACAAAATCCTCTATTTGATATTCAAAGCCCTTTATAGCCTACTCTCTACATACATTTCCATTCTTCTTATACCTTATGCCCCAATGGACTCTGGTTGTGGATGTATATGATGTGGATCCAATGACACAGGTCTCCATTTCTTAGCTTGGCCCATTCTCTCTGGCTGTTCCCTATGTCTGGAATGTTGTTCCTTCTCTTCTCCACCTTCTGACTTCCCTGGCTTCCTTCAAGTCCCAGCTTAAGTCCCATCTTCACCAATTCCCAGTTCTTCTTAATTCTAGTGTCTCCCTTTTGTTAATTATTTCTTACCCATCCTGTATATCACCTATTTGTACATAATTGTTTACAAATTGTCTCTCTCCTTAGACTGTGAGGTCTTAGAGGGTAGGGGCTTTCTCTTGCCTTTCTTTGTGTCTCTAGGGCTGAACATAGTTCCTGGCACATAGTAGGTACTTAATTAATGCTTATTGGAGGACTGACCCTCTCCAAACTTCTGCACAGATTGTTTGATTTCCATGCCTGTAATGTGCTTCCTGGTCATTTTGGCCTTTTAGAATCCTTCACTGCCTTCCAGTTTCTGCTTGGAGTCTCCCTCATATAGGATTTCTTTCTTGATCTTCCTGGCTTTTAGTGCTCCCAGCTTTCTCCAAACAACCATGAATATCCTCCATACATACTATACCCTGATGTCTTTGTATATCCAGTTTATTTGTTTGTTTAGGGTCAGTGCTTTATGTATGATAGTTGCTTAATAAATGTTTGTTAGATTGGATTGGATTGTACTGCATTTTTCTTTGAGGTCACAAGTCATTAGCCAGGAAACTATGGGACAATTTCAGGTTAGTGTGGGACAGGTGCATATTGTGGAGAAGGACTAGTATATTGCAAGAAGAGGAGTAAAAGATTTGGGGAACTTGTCAGCCTCTGATTTTGGAAGTACCTGATTAGAAATCAGAAGATCTCTTTTTAAGTGCCGATCCTACCAATAACAAGCTATGTGACCTTGGCCAGGCCCTGTTTCCTATCTTGCTTTTGGTTTCCTCATCTGTAAGGTTGACAATATTAGACCAAATACTCCACAAGAACCTTTGCAGTTCTTGTATACAACAGGTCTCTGGTGATTTCATTTCCTTCTCTCCAACAACATGGTATGCTTTCTCTTTTCAGGGGCCATTACAAACTTCTTTCAGCGTTTTGTTTTGTTTTGTT